TCAGGTTTCCCGAACTCTGTGGTAGCTCTCAGAGAAGCTGATTCCATCAACAGCTGAAAAATATCAGAGTACTAACAGTGCCATGTTGCGCATGGATGGTGTCCCTGTTTGTACTTTTTGTGTGCAATGCCGAGGCCACATTAGAGCCCTTTGTTACGGCTTAGGGTTTTAGAATGGAAATGAGGCAATTGCTTGGGCTATAAAACAGTGCACTGAGTACTACAGGGATGGGACCGCAAAATGTGAACACTTTTCTGATTGTAATAATTAATTTTCTGTTAAATATGAACTATTTTAAATGTTCAATTTTTGTTTTTTTACATATTATATTTTACTTTGTTTACATATTCATTAGTACTTTGTCTTTCGTTTTTTATCAAATAAACTCAACTACATCTAACGAGAAAATAGTTATAATAAAACAAAAACGTTCACATTTTGCGGTCCCACCCCTGTATATATGTTTCGAGTCAAGTTCTTTAACAAATTTAAAAATGAATAAAGTAACAAAAATTATAAAACACAAAAAACCACAGTCATCACCAAGTTCGCTAAACCTATCATTCACCAATATTCGTGGTCTTCGAAGTAACTTTCAGCTAAACTCAAATTAGTCTCTTTGTGAGACTAATTTGAGTTTAGCTGTCTCATCTTGTGATCTTAGTGTTGATGGTTATCTTCCTTTAATTCGTAAAGACTCCAATAGTCTCATGCTTGGCCTAGGCATTTACATTCGTAAGAATTCACCCATATGTCGGGAAACTAGGTTTGAATCCACAGACTACTCTTTTATGTGCTTTCGTTTAGCACCACTTCACTCTATCACCTTTCTCTTTGTTCTATATCGCTCTCCTTCATCTCAAGACTGAACTCTTCTTGATGTTATTTCTGATTATATTGACCAAACCCTCATTCTTTATCCATCAGCCAATATTGTTGTTGTTAGTGACTTTAATGTTCATCACACTGAATGGCTTGGCTCTAGTGTCAGTGACTCTGCAGGCATTAAGGCCCACAACTTTTGCCTTTCTCAATCCCTAACTCAAATAGTCAACTTTCCAACTCGCTTTCCAGACAACCCGAATCATTTAACTTCTCTACTCGACTTATGTCTTGTTTCTGATCCTAGTCAGTGCTCAGTTTCTCTACACTCACCCTTAGGTGCTTCTGATCATGGTTTGGTCTCTCTAAAACTATTATCTCATTCTTCTTTACCACCAGAATCCCCCTATCATTGTACATCTTACAACTACCTTAAAGCTGAGTGGGACTCTTTCCGTGATTTTCTTTGTGATGACCCCTGGGTAGAAATCTTTCGTCTTCCTGTTGACAAATGTGCTTCTTACATAACTTCATGGATTCAGGCTGGCATGGAATCCTTTATTCCCTCTTGACGATTCCAGATCAAGCCTCACTCTTCTCCATGGTTTTCCTCACATTGTGCTGTTGCAATTGCTAATCGAAACCATTACTTCCATATCTATCAGCAAAACAATTCTCCAGAAAACAGACGTCTGTTTATTACTGCTAGGAACCATTGTAAAAAGGTTTTGTACAATGGTTCCTAGCAGTAATAAAAAATTAGGCTCTCGTGACTTCTGGAGAATCTTTAATAGTATCAATAATAAGGGCAAGTCTGTAATTCAACCTCTTTTGTACGGTTCAGACTTTGTCACCTCACCTAAAGACAAAGCTGAATTGTTTGCTAAGAACTTTTCATCAATATCATCTCTTGATTCCACTAGTTGCGTTCTACCTGATATAGCCGTCAAACAGGTTGATCCACTGCTCGACATCCGTATCACTCCAGCTTCTGTATCTAAAGTGATTTCCTGCTTAAACTCTTCTACAGCTTGCGGCCCGGACAACATACCTGTTATAGTCTTGCAGAAGTGTTGTCCGGAGCTGTCATCTATCTTTTCAAAACTATTTAACAAGTGCTTATCAGAGTCTTGTTTTCCAGCCTGCTGGAAAACAAAACTCTGGAAAGCAGCATCTGTTATCCCTATTTTTAAAAATTCTGGAGAGAGATCTGATTCGTCTAACTACCATCCCATTAGTCTTCTTCCTATCATAAGCAAGGTTTTTGAATCTTTAATTAACAAACACATAATCTCTCATCTCGAATCTCATAACCTACTTTCTGATCATCAATATGGATTTTGATCTACTTGTTCTACAGCTGATTTGCTAACAGTAATAACCGATAGGTTTTATCGCGTATTAGATAAAGGTGGAGAGGTAAGGCTATTGCTCTTGACATTTCTAAAGTGTTTTATAAAGTTTGGCATGCTGGTCTTCTCCATAAGCTTTCTTCTTACGGTGTATCTGGAAACATCTTTAAGATTAATAAATCCTTCCTTTCCAATCGTAGTATAAAAGTTGTCCTTGATGGATAGCACTCTTCTTCTTATTCTGTAACCTCAGGGGTTACCCAACGTTCAATCCTTGGCCCTATACTCTTTTTAATTTACATTAACGATCTTCTAGATATTCTCACATCTGAGGTGGCATTGTTTGCTGATGATACTACCATTTATTCTTGTCACGATAAGAAGCCAACTCCCTCTGATTGCTTGCGGGGGGCATCTGAGCTCGAAAAGGATTTCACTTCTGCTACAGCATGGGGCTCGCAGTGGCTGGTGAACTTTAATTCAGATAAAACTCAATTTTTTTCAGCCAATCGTTATCGCAATAATTTAGACCTTCCTATATTTATGAACGGTAATGTACTCGATGAGTCTCCTACCCTTCATCTTCTAGGATTAACTCTTACTTCTGATCTTTCTTGGAAACCTTATATCAAATCCGTTGCAAAACTAGCATCTGCTAAAGTCGCTTCTCTTTATCGAGCTCGTCACTTTCTTACTCTGGATTCTTCTCTATATCTATAAATCTCAAATCCGGTCTTGTATGGAATACTGTTGCCATATCTGGGGTGGATCTTCTAATGATACCCTTTCTCTTTTAGACAAGGTGCAAAAACGCATTGTAAACATAATTGGACCTACTCTTGCAGCCAACCTTCAACCTCTGTCACATCGTCGTAATGTTGCTTCTCTTTCTCTTTTCTACAAATACTATATTGGGCACTGCTCTAAAGAGCAGTGCCCATTTCTTTGGAATTTGCTTCCTTCATCTTGCTTTCCTGATTCATATAATTTGCAATCTTTTAAGTCGTCTGTCAATCGTTATCTTTCTCTACAATCTTCATTTTTTCTCTTCCAGTAACTTCCAACACTAATTAGTGGTTGCTTGAAGCCTTGTTGGAAGCAAAAATGTTAAAAAAAAAAAAAAAAGATGTCTTTAAAATAGTTAAAGTTATTTCACTCCATCAAAAAGTCTCTGAAGAATGCGATCGTTAAATTCGGAACGATAAATTTCGTTTTAAAACTTGTCACTAATACAAATTTTTTTTTCTTCCGTATTTACATTAAGTAATAATAGTATTATAATACTATTATTACTTAATGTAAATACGGAATAAAAAATGTTTTGACTTTGTTGATGTTTTTAACTAATATTAGTTAAAAATATCAACAAAGTCAAAACATTTTTCTTATTTCAATGTCATCAAAAAAGAGAAACGAAAAAAGATTCTGCACAACTATCTGCAAAATCCTTCTGCATCGTTACTTAATTGAATATTATGCACGGACAGGAAAATTACTAACAGTTATGTACTGACAAAAAGTAACTAAAACAATGTAACTAAAACAATTACTGCAAAAAAAAAAGTAACAATGATTTATTAAATATAATAATCTTAATATCAATAATCATAATAAATACAATAAAAATAATATAAATACTTTATTAAAAAGTAACAGTAATTAAACAAACAAAAAATTTTCCAAAAAAACTCTCAAATAAAAACGTGTCACACAATAACAAACATTTACTCACGAAAAGTATAGAGTTTTTATATTAAATGAAAATATTCAAACAAAAAAGGAAAGCATATCATAATATCCAGCAAACACGGGCCTCAAAATTAATAAAGTTTAAAAATTATTATTTTTTGTTTCTTCAAAAATGGAGCAATTTTTATATTTTATTTTAATTCTTTTAAATTACTTCCCATTTTTGAATGTTTTTTTCTTTTTACTTTGGTTTTTTGTCTTTTTTGTTTTTGTTTTACTAATTTGCTTGATTTGTTTGAATTTGTTGTTGTTGTTTTTTGCTTTTTTCTTTCTTTCTTATTCTTTTCTTCACCCTATTTTTATTTTTCTTATTTTATTCTTTTTCTTTCTTTTCTTTTTTTAATTTATTTATAAAATTCGTTATCAAAAAAGCGTTCGCCATTCCGGAAGTCTCTGCACTGTGACTAACCAACAAATTGTTAAAAAAAGAGAAGGCAATCAGTACTTAAATTAATCAACCGATACTTAAAAAAATCAATCAATACTTAACTTAAAAAATACCATCTTGGTATATTAACTATTATTTTTAAGATAAGTATAAGACTATTATTTTTCCAATATATATTTAAATACTTTTTTTACAACACAAGTATTTTTGAGATTAAAAAGAGCCATTGCAAAGATCCAAAACAAAACCTAAAAACTCGAGATAGTATCCGTAACTTACTGATAACATTGTATCTGTATCATCCTGATAGGATTCAGGGTTGAAGTACAGGGGATTTATAATTTGTAAAACGCAAAACCTTTTGCAAATTTTATAAAACACTGGTCAGATAATGTCAGGAAAAAAAAAAGAGAATATAATTAGATAAAAATGAATGAAAAATACAAGTTTTAAGAAAAATTCACGCTTTGGACTAACCCTAACTCTACCCAGCGGGCATTTGTTTTTAAAAGTTAGGTTTTAAATGTATTTAAATTTCTTTTAAACATTCTTATGTAAAGAACGTTTAAAAGACGTTTTAGAACGTATTTTTTACAAAGTAGGGTATGGTAACTCTTTAAAGTATTTTGAAGTTTAAAGGGTTTAATCATGATTTTTGAAAGATTTTTGCTAATAACATAAATTAAAAAAACATGCAAAACTAATATATCAATAATCAATTCAATTACAAGTAATTTTCTTCAAAATATTAAAAAAGATGAATTACTTTTCTTCAGTTATACTTTCTCTACAAATAACTTCAAGTGAAACTTGGACAGTTACACAACTGTTTACAGTTACATCTAAACTATATGTTCCTAATTTTACAATAACATCATTTTCAGTCTCTCTTATACGCATACAATGCACTGGAACGTATAAATTCGAATGACGTAGAAAATATTCAGCAACGTCATGTCGTGTAATGAGAAAATCGTCATCTGAAGGGGCATACAACTTGATTGCGCTCTTCTTCAAATACTTTATCACATTACCCGGAACTTTTGAGCCTCCACTTTTTTTTATTATTGAGGGGTCGATTCCATGATTTACAAGGTTTTCAGGCGTTGCGTAAATCGCTAATTTATTGGGGATAAGATTATTTCGCCCGAGCGCTCTTTTAACTTGAACTACGTCTTCTTTCATACCGAGTCCTTCCACATCTTCTAATAAAAGCATTTTCAACCTTTTAAAAGAAATTTTAAAAACCAACAATCATTATCACTACAATAATAAAAAATTAATAACTTTTATTACTTTATAAATATCTTTATTATTTACATAATTAATAATAAAAAGTGTACCTTGGATTTGGATTAGCTTTGTACCGAGATTTCATCGAGTTTCGATAAACAAAAACTTGTTTTTTAACCAATTTTCGTTTAGGAACAGAATAATTCCTAACACTAACGTGCGCGACCGGAGAAAAGTTGCCGAGAGCAACTGAAGAAATAGTGGTGTCTGCGGCCGAAGAGACGGCCAGCTTCCTCATTCCTTTGAGGATGTTTAAAATCATTATTACTAGAAAAATTTTTTACCGAGTGAAAATTTTTTTTAACTAAAAATAAAATACGTAACAAAAAATAAAAGTAAATTAAAAAAAAAAATTGTAAAAATAGTTAAAAATATTAAATGATATTTAAAGCAAGTATTTAAGTTAAAAACATCTTTTAAAGTTTTAACCAGTTTTTATTTTCAAGTTAACTAAACAAAAACGTCTAGTATACAATATACATTAATGAAATTAATATTTCGCTTTGTTTTTTTTTAATATCAGAACCTATATTCTGGAGATTTCGATTACTTGCTTACAGATATTCATTAACTAACGGCCCAAGGCAGATAATTCGAACCAGTTAACGAATTTCATTTATTTGATAGAATGTGTTTGAAACGAGCAAAGATTCTGTTAAGTATTTTGCAATCCAAAAAGTTTTATAGTACCAGCATCTCGTTCATGTTTATCCTACAAAACATAAAACAAAACATAACAAAACATGTAACTATTGACATTATAACTTTTTATGTCCGTGATATTTCCTGCTTCTCATCTGTTCTGTAAAAACACCTTTTGTTTCAATACTTAGATGTTTATGTCTTTTAAAATTGTTAGTTAGATACAAAAACATTTTAGCATAAAACTCGCTTTTTAATCTTCTCCCAATCATAAAAAATTATAGTAAAGTTAAACAAAACAGTTCTAGTCGAATCCTACGGGATCATATAAGAATATTTGAAAAATTACTTTAGATTAAGAATATTTACATTAATTTTAAATCATAATGTAAATATTTACATACTTACATTATGATTTAAAAAAGTAATCTTATGATTGTGCACGTTTATTCATTACCTTATCATCACAAGCGAAAGCAAGTAGATACTCTGAAGGATGCCATGCTACTGTAAAAGTAGGCGTTGAACAAGTAACCTCACAAATTTGTTCTCCTGTTTCTACCATTGCCTAAAATTCAAAAAAAGAGCACAAAAAGATTCAAAATTTGTCGCAGAATTAATATAATAAAAAGTTAAACAAGAAAAATATATATTTTTAAATCGAAAATTCGGAAAGTAAAAACTTACGATGTCAATAAACAAATCTTCTGAAGCTGATGCAAGCATCTTTCCATCATAACTGAAACTCAAGGTGCGAACAGGCCAACTATGGGTTCCCCAAAAAATTAAAACAAAAAATATATATATATATATAAATATATATATATATATAAATATAAAAAAGTGGTCGTCCATAAATTACGTCATGCTTTAGTGGGAGGGTGAGGGAGCGGTTAGTAGTTTTGTGGCGACTTGTAAGTGACTTGTTACTAAAGAGTTAAGATGTTGTTACTGAAGAGTTGAGATTGTTTTTTTTTATTTTTGAAATTTTCATAAAATTTCGCTTCTATTCAAAAGTATATCATGTTGGGACATGATATACTTTTGAAGACCTTTTTTTTCAGCATATTAGGGACCCGTTAGATGTTTTAGGGTGTTAAGCGACCCCTAAAATATTTTCTTATTCAAAATTTTTTTTAATTTAGTGTTAGTTAATTAATTAGAACACATTTAGAGGGTGGCAGCAGACAATTTGAAAAAAAGATGTTTTTAGTGGCACTCTAATATATATATATATATATATATATATATATATATATATATATATATATATATATATATATATATATATATATATATATATATATATATATATATATATATATATATATATATATATATATATTTATATATATATATATATATATATATATATATATATATATATATATATATATATATATATATATATATATATATATATATATATATATATATATATATATATATATATATATATATATATATATATATATACACATTGTAAATGACACTGGTCAACAAGATTTAACTTTTTTTTCTCATCACAAACAAAAAAAACTTTTTCTAAATGTATTTTCGATATTGAATTCAAATCTAGTTACAATTTCGTTCTTTTACGTATAGTATTTAAACTATTTACACTTTTGTATGAAATGTACGTAATTATATGAAAATGGAGTGCTCGTTTTAAAGTTAGTGTTAGAGTTTAATTTTAAAACTTACAAAGTGTTAGTTTAAAAGTTTAAATTACGTTTCAACGAAGTTTAAATGCAAACAATTTATTAAGTTAAATTAAAACAAAACAATAAACTGTAAACAAACTAATTTACATGAAAGAGAGCTTTTTTGAACATAGTTGTAAAATTAGAGTATACACATTAAAAGTTATTAAACTGTTGAGAATACAATTTCGTTTAAACGCTTGGTCTGGAATTTCTTGATACAACATCCAACAATGATCATAATGCATTTATTACAAACCCTTGGTAACGCCCTTTCATAGCTTTAATGTCTAAGTGAAAGCATTTCCCTTGCTTGTCACTCACTGCATTAAAGACATTCAACAAACCATTTGTTTATAAGCATCAATATGTTTTCCTACTCCACCCAAATATGTTTGGGACTTGTTATTACCTAGAAAGTATGCACATATCCATTTGAAAGCCAGCCAAGCTTCCAATTCCAAGAGTCTGTTCAAACTCAATATATTTTAAAATCTTTCGGATTTGTGGCCCAACAATAGTACCCTCTCTCAATTTAGCTGCATTAACTTTTGGAAATTTTATAGAAAAGTATTGGAACCTTTGTGAATTAACTTAATCCATTTTTTCAACTAAGTTCTTTATTAAACCAAGTTTAATGTGGAGAGGCAGTACGAAGATCTTTCGAGGATCAACTAAAGGAGCAGCCTGGACACTGTCTATTCCTGAGACATGCACACTTAAGTGCCAAAAAATGTTTGCTGTAGTGTTCCGACTCCTGTCCCACAGTCAAAGGAAACAACAGTAGTTTTAGTAGTTTTTAAAATGTTTTTTTTTCACAATATTGTGTAATGTTTTAACAAGCATAGCAGATTTGATATCGTACTCATGGTTTATCTTGATCACCTAGACGGTGATCAAAGAAAAGATTAAATGTTTTTTGATGCTCGGTGTAATAGTTTTGTTGTTGTAGTTTAGTTGTGAAATTGCCACATACATAACAAAACATGTCAGGATAATTCTTACAATCTCTAGGCATACTGATTTATCTGAGCAATGAATTTAAAAATAAATAACAATAGTATTACACTTCACATGATGCAAGCCACTGACAGAATGTAAACTGTTCTCAGAGATGCCAGATAGCAACAATGTGTGTTGCGAGATGTACAATGACAGTCTGAAACAATCAAATGAACACATTAATCTATAAAAGACAAACTAAATAAAATTTTAAAAAAAGTAGCATTTTGTATGTATATATAATATTAGTAAATGTGTGTATTTACATTAAGGGCAATTTCAAAAAATCACACACAGAAACTTGCATATGTTTTGTCTATTCAGGGTTCCCACTATTAAAACTAAGGCTAAAATTAAGGATTTTAAGGAGATTTAAGGAGATATTTTCCTAATATTTAAGGAAATTTGGTCGCGAACAACATTTTTTTGAAAGAAAAAGTAAGGATAATTAAAGAGAAAAGGATTACATTAAAAACATAATCTTATTTTTTTCAATAAATTTTAAATACAAGCAGAAAAATTATTATTACTTTATATATATATATATATATATATATATATATATATATATATATATATATATATATATATATATATATATATATATATATATATATATATAAATATTAATATATATATATATATATATATATATATATATATATATATATAAATATTAATATATATATATATATATATATATATATATATATATATATATATATATATATATATATATATATATATATATATATATATATAATAACAAAAATAGGTCAAAAATCTATATATTATCTTCTTTATTAACAAGTATAATCCATTCACTTTAAAAAAATTTTCTAGATAAAAAAAAAAAAGAAAAAAAAGGAGAAATTAAGGAGAGCAGTCAAATCTTAAATTTTTTAAAGGTTATTTAAGGACATTTAAGGAGGTTTTTATTTTTTAAGGATATTTAAGGTTTTTAAGGAGGTGTGGGAACCCTGCTATTATTTTTATAATAATAAAACTGGCAATCTGTAATTGGAATCATGCATGGAATAGAAAAATGCAAATTTTAATTACTAGATAAATAAACTTTAATTCCTTGGAAAATATAAATTTAGCAGTATACTTTTTTTTAAAAGTATTATTTTATATATTAGTAAACATTTCCAGAAAGTTACAGCATTGCACTTAGTCACAGCAACCGTTTAAATGCAGTTCATATATGGTCACACATGGAAGTTGCAAATTTATCAAGTTCATGTAGTTAGTTGTATAAAAATAAATTGCTTGTAAGTATTTCAAGTGAAATATTATATACACTATGTGCTTTCATCATAAAAACTATAGTTGCTACAAAAACATAATTGCAGTTTCGAATTCAGTGTCAAAATTTATATCTAAGCAACTTAAATTTTCTCTGACAAATACTTTGTTGACCAGTGTAACAAGAAAAAAATGATATAAAAAAAGCATTATTGTAAAACTTTATTCTTACTCAATAATAATAAAAATACTTTAATAGAATATTTTAAAATTTAAAGTAAAAGCACAAAAAAAGACAAAAACATTACTCAAGTCGTGAAAAGCAATGCACACAGCATAATTCATCAAGATCCCACAAACTAACTAATGCATCAGCACTCCCAGTTGCAAAATATCTAAATGCATTTTAATAACAAAATTAAATGAATTTTTTATAAATGAAAGTAAAAAATGAAAGAAAAACTTTTTGTTGGATTTATAGTACTAAGTTTCTTCATGTACAATTTTTTTTATAAAAATACTAAAGCATAGTAACAATAATTTACCTCCCTTTAGGATCAAACTTAATACAAATACAATTTGCAGGGTGAGCATTCAATGTTTGCACTTGTTTCAAGTCAGGGTAACTAAAAGAGAAAAAATAAAATAAATAAAATAAAAACTTGTTTGATAAAACAAGCAATAAAAAAAAAAGCATTTTAAAATTAGGTAAATGTAAGTTACAAGTTACATTGCTGATAAGTTGTATTATATTACTCTAAGGTTACACTAAGCTACTAGTAAGTTAAAGTGTAGTACTGACTTAAACTGTATTATTAGAGTGGTCCATTTTAAACTTGTTTTTCTTATTTTTAACAGTTTTTATTTACCAGTAATAACATTTAATGTAATAAAGTGCTTAATACCAAAGATTATGAATCTAGGACAATTTTTAGACCCCCCATAAAACATTGGAATTTCAAGTAACAAATTGTGCAAATGTTGCGCTATATTTTTACACATTATTATTGTTTTCTCAGTGAGTTGTTACAATGTCACTAAATTAGTCACTAAGGAAAAATTATACAAAATTTGATTAACTTAATTTGTATTTATCCCACAAAAAATTAGTTTTAAAACATCATAACAATATATCATAACAAAAAAAACATACGTCATAACAAAAAAAAAACATCATAACAATAAATAATAACATAGATGTATCATAAACCAGTTTGTTTATTGCTGCATTATATAATGCAATGATTGTTCTTATTGCGGCAATGTATAATGCAATAAGTATAAGCTGCTATAGTTTAATTTATCAAGTTTTTAATGTTTCTTATGCTAGATGGTTTCTTACCCTGATTATGAACCCTGTATGCATTAAAGACTTCAGCCTTGTATTAAAAGATAGCAGAGGATTCCATACCAAATAAGGTTGGTGGACTTTGTAAAAGTCTCAGAATCTATTAAAACAGAGACAGTACTCAGATTAGAAAAAAAGCATTTTTTAAGGTACTGGTAATGATGAGACACTACAGTAATACAGACACTCTGGTAATGACGAAAGGCTTAATTAATTGAAGAAATATAAATTCTGGCTAATTCTTTGCAATGAAAAAACATTCAAATAAACTACTAGAAAAAATGAAGAGCTACTTGCTGTTAAGACCTCCTCTTTAATTGCAAATTACTTAAAGAAGTCAATTGAACTAACTTTCAACAAATCAAAAAATAAAATTTCAGTAACATGATAAATAACAAATTTATCAATATTTTAAATTATTTGTGGGGTATGTACAAATAGTCCAAATTGACCGAATTCTGCAAGATTATTCAACAGTATTCAAATATTGTAATAACCTGTTAAGTAAGAAAAATGTCAAAAAAGGTTTCACAATACTTGTATAGTTTTTATTAAACTTTCCAATATCTTATGGGGGATACAAAAATGATCCTTAAAAATTTAATTTTTGGTCATATTAACATTATTTCAATGCTTGATTTGAAAATTTCAATTTCAAGTCACACCTTAAGGAGTGGGGAATCAGCTGAAATCTAGTGATCATCATGGTATAACACTTAAACATGACAAACTACCCAATTCAATTAAAATGAAACACTGGAAACTGCATTTAAAACATCTGCAAGCCTTTTTTATATTTTTTCCAATGATAAGTAACAGAATACTGTAACAAAAAGTAGGAATAAAATATTTCATAGCCTGTTGTTAGTGGCAACCATTGAATACTTAAAAGGATATTACTTGCAAGTAGTTCATAGTGTATTTTTGTTTTTTTTAGAATCTCTTAAAATAAACAACAGCAACTATATCAAACGATTGCAAGATTTTCAAGGCAGCTTTATAGCACACAAAAAATTACAAAATAACTATGTTTTTCAACAGGAAAAAAGCTCTAATGTCATCATTAAAAAACTTTAAAGTTTCAATAAAGGTAATGCTAATAATAATACTATTTAACATTAAATAAAATAAATAATAATACTAAATAAGCTTTTTACCTTAAAATATTTATATGACCATGACCATTTGTTAGAAAAAATAAATCATTAGTGTTGTTCCAGGAAATTTCATTTACCTACAAAAAAAGCAAAACAATTTTCCTTCATTCAACCAAAATAAATTTTAGAAAACTTTTTAAAGATTAAATTTTAAACAAATTTTAAACTTTTTTAAAATTTATTTTGGTTTTCTTTTTTATAGAAAACCAAAAATTTTAAAACAAACTTTTTTACCTCGAACTTAAACTGTTCTTCAGCAATGATTTTGAATGTTTTTGTATCGATGAAAGTAATCAAGTCTTCCTAAAAGTAAAAAAAATTAAAAAATTAAAATTTCTCTCACATGTTAGAAACTGAATTAAAAAAAACAAAAAATCAAAGACTAATCAAGAAAGAAAAGTTGAAGGAAACTCAAACATAAACATTAAAAAGTTTAAATTTTAAAAAGTTTAAAGTTTAAATTGACTAAAATATTGATGATTCAAAATTTATTTGCACATAAAGTCCATAACATTAAACTTAGAGACTAGTTCAAGACATTATAGACTTAGGAAAAAGTTAATATAAGAGAGAACAAAGAATAATTTAAAACTCTAATTTAGTATAAATCTAATTAAATAAAGTTACAAATAACTTTATTTAATTAGATTTATAACAATATTGTACTGTTTATAATTAATAATAAAAAAAGTTACTTCTAAATACTAAATATAATAAATATTACTTATGTTAATATTTCAACCATATATAATGAACTGAAACATAAAATCAATCATTTTAATTTTTAATATTTTTTAAAAATTATTAAAAACTAAAAGTTTATCATAAATTTTATTTATTTTTATTTTCATTTTATAATAGAAATAAAATATTAAATAGTATTTTTCATAAAAAAAAAGTTTGAATCATTTAAAGTAAAAGTTATGTAACTTTTAAAAGAATCTGAATTTTGTCAAATGGAAATAACAAGCCTCATATTCACACATATATGGATGGACATAACAAGCCTCATATTCATACACAGATGGATGGACATAACAAGCCTCACATTCATACACTGGCAACAGCATACATCTATTTCAAACAAAAATGTTGATTAACATTTTTGTTTAAAATCAATATGCATTACATTACATGAATACTCATTCTGTCATTTATTTAAGAGCAATTCAAACTAATTCTGAATAAATAAAAAAAAAAAAAAAAAGAAAAAAAAGAAAAAACACTTTCAAAAGTAGTGTCACTGCTGCACATATTAAACACTATCTATAGAAGATATAATGAATAAAAAGTACACACCTTTTTTTGTCACATGAAATTTAATTGTTAAAGATGTTCTTGTGAAACAGAGAATGAGATATCCAATTAAGAAAACTGTTGCGCCTTCTTTTGAAGAAATATAGGAAACTGGTCAGTTTATAAAATACTTTCTTAAACTGGTCGGTTTATAAAATACTTTTGGTTTTAAAAATACTTTCTGCTCAACTAGTTAATTTTGAGAATAGGGAAAATGAAA